GAAAGAAAGACAACAAAAACCATTTGTGTAGCCTTCATGTTACATCAGAAGTACAAGAAAGAGACCAGAGGTGGAGCGAAGTTTCACTTTCTGGCTTTTGTTTTTGTAATGATTAGCAAAAAAGTAATTTACTTATCAACTCAAAAGAGATTGGACAACTTTTACTTCACTCATCATCAATGATCGATCCATTACAAAGCAAGAAACAAGTTTTTTAAAATGTCATGTTGGTAGCAAGAGCCATGAGATTAAACGGTCTGATTTGGTTTTTTTTACCATTCCACAAAGCTTTTGACATGAGATGGTAAGTACGTTCTGTAGGATGATAAAAATCCCAAAACATAAACTCATTCGAGTTATTGCAAATCTTGTATCCTTCTCTTCCACACTGCATCAATCCTCCCAGTTTCCCGTCTCCACAACACGCATTCGACACATCCGAAAACCCTTTTAACCAAAAACATAATTCAATTTTCTTATCACACACTTGGAAAAAAGATCAACTATATTGCTTACCGTAACGAGCAGGGAATGTTTGGAATCTATGAGTGATACCATACATAGCTCCGAACACCGCGATAGCTCCAGGGTACTTAGTGGGGATTATGTTAACTATATCTTCAAGTCCTCTATTAAATTTTTTAGCCATAACATTCATTTTACCGAAGCATTTATCGGTCGGGGCATTAGGAAGCAAGGCTCTTGCAGGTACACATCCCACAGGACCTAAGGAGAATAAGGCGATGCGACGTGCGCCTAGTTTGTAGATCTGATCAATCGTTTTGTTCACTTGAGTTAACATTGCGTTCACATAGTCGTCTGGAGTGAGTGTAGGAGTTTCGAATGGAAGAAAATAATTAAAAATGTCGTTGGAACCAGACTCCAATAAGAAGAGAGATTCTTGGATTGTAGATTTTTCGAGTTGGTTCTGCTCTACAAGTGTCTGAAATTGCTGAAGCTGAGTTTGGATCGGTGTTACGCCCTGTAACGGATATGATTCATAAGGAACGAACATTTTCTTGTAAAAGAGAAATGTTTCAGTTATTATTACCATGGCTTTGTTGGTATCAAGCAAGAGACCACTACCGGCACTAGCAAAGTTAACGCCATTCGAAGGAAATCGTTTTATGGTTCCGTTTGAGATTCGAATCTGGAGTTCCATGTATGGTTTCTGTAATGGAAGACCTAGAAATTGAGCTGTAATAGGTCAAGCAACAAAACAGAGACAGGAAAGTGAGTTGCCTTGCGTAGGAAGCAATCTTGATGAAAAAGTGATTAATTAACGAGTTAGGGTTTTATTACAGATGAAGTCAGCTACGGTTCTTCCGTTAGTGAATCTCCCTGTAGGACGGTGGAAGAAGGAAGAACCGTAAGGAGGAAAATCGGCCTGAGCGGTGCAGTTTTTGTTGAAATGGTTGTTTCCGGCGTCGAAAATGGAGTCACCGAAGGTAAAAATGGCAGGAACGGAGGGAGAAGACTTGGCCAGAGCCACAGGAGATGCTAGAAGGAGCAGAGCAAAGAGTAAGTCCATTGAAGTAGAAGAAGACATATGTGACGAATTAATCCAAACACATTAAC